TACTCAATACGATTTGAATCATTAAATAAATATGCGATCATGAGGTCGACCAAGATATTTATTTAATACATTCATATTAGGCCTTCAAGGTCCTTTATAAAAAAGTTTCATCGACAAAATCATACACCTGCATGGGCCACAACGAGCATGTTATTGGTACACACGTGATGTCTAGGGATGTTGTGCAGGTCACTAAATTTGAACACGATTCTTCTAAATATATAAATAAGAGTCGATAAGGTTCAACAAATAATTATAAAATGCCCCCAAACACCTACATGGGCCCTAGCGAATGTGTTATAAGTACACGCATAATGCCTAAGAATGCTGCGCGAGTCAATAAGTGAATTCAAGTTCAAACCCGATCCTTCTATGCGGATCAATAGGAGTCAACAGGATTTGAACCATCAAATAAATATACGGTTACGGTGACTAATATATTTATTTTAATATATTCATATTAAGCCTTTAAGGCCTATAACAATGAAAATTCACTAACAAATGAATAAAACCTACAAAACCTGATCCCCTATTGGCAAGTTGATAGGGTTGACAAGGTTCAAGCTTTAAATGGAAATAATCCCATACATCATGATGATGGCCGTATTAAATGTTTATTTCAACTGGAGGGGTTCACAAACCATCTCAAATGCCTCTAAACTTCAACAAAATTCAAATTCCTATGAAAATATAAGTGAATCCAAAGTCACCTCAATGATGATCGTATTAAATGCTAATCTCAACCGGAGGGGTGATTCAAATACTTTCAAATGCCACTAAAAAATCCAAAATCCCAATAATCATCCAAATCCAAAATATTTAAAATTGAAATAAATCAATCAACATTTAAAGTAAATCCATCCACCCTCTGTAATAGTTTGCCGAGATGGACAAATTCAAATACAACTTTAGCTCACAAAGAGTTAATGCCTAGTCAAAAATATCACAAGGATCCTTTCTCAAATAATATTGTACCAATAAGGACGTGATACGTGTCCTCTGACCGGTGGTTTTGAAGCCAAATAACACCGCATGATAAATGATTATGACCCGGGAACCTTTGAACCAAGTGATTTTGCTGCCAAATGACATCACAAAATACCGGTTATGGCTAAAGCCAATACGTTCCTTAGTGGCATTAAATCCTTGAGATATAAATTAATATAATATAATTGATAGGGCACAAAGCCCTCTGTTAGCTAAGGTGGATTCAAATTTGTCCCCTTAGATATACATTCCTCCCAAGTTTACAAGGTCTCCTTGGATGAAGCAACCCATGGCTGCCGACAAGGATCCTTATGTCCGGTTGGGTCGACTACCCCCTATGACTAAGTAGGCTAGCGACCATGATGGCCCTGATGGAACCATGGGATCTTAATCGGGTCTATCATCCATTCCCCCACCATCTACTTTAAGTACAAGGTGATGAAATTTCTATTTTAAATATTAAACGTTTCAAATTCTCAAATCCAAGCCCATGATGTTATTATACGCTTAATACTACATATCTACGAATATAATGCATCTGATTGATGACTATCCTTAATCGAAAGTTCTCTCTCATGATCGGGAGGTGTAATTAACTATGAGGGCTTGCACCTATAGGAAATCAGAATCAGATCATAAAGACCTCACAAAATGAGGGCGAAATCTCTGGGTAGTGTCTTATGTAAAAACCCATCTGTCTTTCCAAAATCTACTGCGGAACTTAATTCCCTTAAAACTCCCCTCGAAAAAAGAAAATTAACAATCAGGCGGAGGCCGGGGCCAAATTTTTAGAGCCCATAGAAAGTTCTTTTCATTTGGATGCCTTACTCAAAGAACAAATTAAGCTTGTAGAGGAAATCTGAAGACCAAAGAGAATATTCCAGTTTTATAAAAAAACTTGTTCCTTTCATAGGAGCAGAATCATTGTTGAAATTTAAAGGCATTGTCCAGTTTCCTCTATTTATAATTTTTTTAATTTTGTGGCACTTGTTAGATGGATTTTTGGAAACTTTTATTTTCCTTTGTTTAATTGTTTTTATTAGTAGTTGGGTGAATGATTGGTTATATTGATTGTGCTTTAGAAACTCTTATTTTTTATAGGTTTATTTATTGCATATGCTTTTGCCTAGATTTCTTATTAGACTATTAGGAAATAAATTATTTATACTCATAACTAAAAAAAAAAGATTGAATAACATAGTAAGGTAATTGATTTAGAATGTAAGTAGGGTTTGGCGTGAGATATCATAAAGTATATTAAATTCTTCTTTTCCTTCTTTAGGAACCACCTTGCTTATGGGTTGAAGTTCCACCCAACCTATGAGGATATAATTCTGTCCAAGGGGAGTTATGCTTTTTTAAAATTAATGAAATTAATTTTTAAAGTCTTTTTAAAACATCAAATTCTAATTAGTGCATATAATTAACTAGCTTGCATTATATTAGAAACCAATTAAAATTAAAACTTAATTGCATTTAATCATAGATGCATAACTACCATTAATAAGTCTATGACTAGTTAGAAACTTCTCTAGATGTCAGTAGTATATTCTACCAAACTTGAATAACAACAGACAACTATTTTACATTTGCATAAGAATGAAGTTAGGAGTTTTTAAACGATTAGGTGGAATTTTAGCTAGCATTTCTACTCCAGATGAGAATGTAAATTCAAAAGTATCAGGCTTTCTTAAACTCTTATCAAAGTCAAAGATTTAAGCCCCACCTCACTGATTGTGTATTTCATTAGGCTAGGCTCGAGTCACTACTTTGTAGTGATTCAACATATATATATGTTCTGAGATTATCCTTAAATCATAAGTCCTCATCCTTCGATAATATATTCCTAACTATATAATAAAATGTCAACTCAAATAATATAATCTCATTCAACAACACTGAAGCCCAATCTAGGATAAACTAGAGTACTAGTGCTCTATACTCTTTATCCTTTGGCCTCTAGAAATAACCATTGAATAAAAAAAAATCTCATTTTAAAATTCAATAAATCATATCATTGACTTAAATTTTGAAATATAAGAAAAAATTTGCCACAACTTTAATTGAGAGTGTTCTCAAGAGATTCACCTATCTTATGATGTAATAAATCATAAAGGCTTATGTTTATGAGGAACTTGTAACTTCAGGTTAACATAAACTCCATCTTATTCCCATAAGAAGAGAAAAGATCTCTCGGAACATAAACAATTTTTTAAAACTCATTTTTGCATTCAAACAACTTTATAGAATATCATGATCACCTTGCCGGTGATATGGTGTTCTCTCTGTCACATTTTATTACATAAATGGCAAATCTTTAATTTTTTTTTTAATTTTCAAATACTATTATAGAATGTCATGTCCGTCTTTGGAGATAATATGTGTTTTTGTTTTAATTGATTACGAAAATGATAATTTTCTAAAACTGTACTTTTTCCTTGAATTAATTGCAGAATATCGTGTCCATCCCTCGAGATATTCTCGGTGTAGTATTCGATCACAAAAATAGGAGCACCTTGAATTTGCTTGACTTTATCTTCCCACATGCGCGAAGGCCAGCTCCAAATCCTTAACTTCTAGCATTTCAGTTTGAAACCTGGCGATGAAGCTCAACAATTATCGACCTCCTCTCTCATCTTCATATGAGCTTGTGAGCTCTTAAGTGGCCTTTGGGCCACACAAGTTTTGTAATGAACATCCTCTTAAACTCGAGGAATGAGGGATGACATCCAGTAACATACGAGAATACCACTAAAAGGTTGACTCTTTGAAAGAAATAATGAATAGTCAAACATCAGTGTATTTTGATCTCCAACATTAATAGTGTCGACTCAAAGTATGCAACATGGTTGACAGGGTGGAACCTTCCTAAGTATGACTCCAAGTGAGGCATCTTGAACTTGGCAGATAGCTTTGCATATGCGATTTCCTTAGAAAATAGATCAGTTAGTTCTAGCTCCCTCTTCCTTACTAGCCTGGCTAGAGGGATGAATCTGCATCATTGGCATGGTTGAAATGTGTAGAAGTTGGCACCGTAGTATCAAACCTTGTTTTGCGATTTCGCGAGTAAGATGATTATTTAGAGGTATATTTCCTTAGGGCATTTCTTTGAACAAACTCTAGTGCATCTTGAATAATCTTAATAAAATTGTCCTCCATCTCCATCAAACCACAATGGCTTGTGTGGTTATAGTAATCCAATTTTACTAACTACTCCTGATTTTGTTAGTGCCTATATTATTGTCACTGAAGTGACATCACTCTATACTCATGACATCTTAGTGGGGTTTGAATCCAAAATTGTTAATGGGCAACAACCAACCCTACTAATAGTTCTTATCAAGTTAGAGAAAGAAAAACAAGCGAGGAAATTAGCAAATATAGGGAGTAATTGAGAATTTGAAAAATTTCTAAGAATAGTGAAAGTAGCAAGAAGTTCAAAATATGCCTATTAACCTCTTATTTAAAAATAGATTGAAATAAACATGTGAAGTGAGTTGAATGGTGCATATACGGCCCTCTATATCTAACGTGGCCCCGTGCTCCTGATGTGCTTTGATAGAGCCCACGATGAGTACCATAGGTGAGTCTTTGAGGTGAGTACCTTAGTTGAGACTACAGGAGCAAGTATCTATGAAGGTGAGCACATCAAGCTGAGTGGCAAATCTCTCGGGTATTAAGGATTGTGAGTTTGGGATGAGCATAGCCAATGAAGTCACAATCACAAGCTCCTTTAGACATGTGCTTCTTGTAGCTTTCATTAGGACATCCATTGAAGGAGAATATTGAGGAAAGCAAGTCCTCTGGATGAACTCAATGACAGTGAAAGCTTCATCAATCTGATCCTCCAAGGGCAATCTTGTGTGCCATGAGCTCCGCTACGGTGAATGCATGCTTGCTCATATTTTATTATTTTTCCAAGAAGACCGTCCAATTTTTGAGCTGTGTCATATTCCTATCAAATTTAGAGCCCTAGTTGTACATCACAGCTTACATAAAAAATTAGGTTGCGCTCAGCTACTACTAATATCTACCAAACTAGTTCCAGAGTTCCCCCACAACCTTCTCTTCTTAATCACATTCCTTACCCTATTCACTTCATTCCACTGTTCCTCTCCTGCTCTGATGCCCACCAAAAGCTTGTAAAATCCTGGAACAACACATCCTCTTTCAATCAGACAATCTCCAAGCTCCTTCCACATTTTCTCCTCTCTATGAATTCTGCAAGATCCAAGGAATGCGCCGATCAAGCTGCTGTTGGGCTCCAATGGCATCTCATTCATAAATCTGAATGCTTCATTGATACAACCAGCTCTCCCAATAAGATCAACCAAACTCGCCCAATGCTCCATTCTTGGTTCAATTCCAAACATTGAAATCATGTAGTAGAACACTTTCAAGCCTTCATTTATCAGCCCCCAATGGCTACAAGAAGATAACAGAATAAGAAAGCAGATATCATCTGGCTTCCCACCATGTTTTATCATTGCAAAGAAAAGCATTAGAGACTCCTTTATATAACCATGAATTCCCAACCCATTAATCATACAACTCCATGAACACACATTCACTTTGATTATCTCACTGAAAACATTGTAGGAAGATAAGAGTTCTCCACACTTTGAATACATGCCAATGAGAAGCCCCTTGATGGAAATATCTACAGAAAGTCCATTTCTAGTAATTTGGCCATGTATAGACTTTCCTAGCTGAAGAGCTGGCAGATGAGTACAAGCTTGAACAGATAGCAATATGGTTGGTACGCTGGGCTTGAAGCCTTGTAGATGCATCTGGTATAATAGCTCAAGTAAGAGCTTATATTTTCGAGCCTGTGCGTAACCGCCAATCATCGCATTCCAGCTCACGACGTCCTTGAACTCAATCTCCATGAAAGCTTTCTCCGCTGCTACTAATTCTCCACATTTAGCATACATGTCCATGATTGCAGTTGCAAGGACTGTGTTGTTAGATGCACCAGAAACCACCAAATGGCCATGGACGGATTCGCCAATTTCAAGTGCATTAGCTTGTCCGCAGATAGGAAGAACAATCTTGAACCCGACTGAGTCTAAGGCAACTCCATTATTCTTCATCGAAGTACAGAACTCCAAAGCTGATATAGGCTGGTCGCAGACACCGTAACCCAGCATCATCAAATTCCAAGATACGATATTTCTTTGGGGCATTGCATCAAACACCTGGCGTGCGGCGGTCACATGAGCAAAATTCGAGTACATTTCAATCAGCGAGTTCTGAAATGTGAGGTTTTGATCGAGGCCAGCTTTGGTGATGAGGCTGTGGATGGCTTGGCCTTCGTGGATAGCTGAGAGCTCTCCGCAAGCTTTGAGAAAGTAAACAAAAGGCAAGTAGGTTCTATCAGCGTTCGAAGCTCGAAGAAAATGGTAGACATTTAGGGCATCGTGGAAGAATCCATCTTTTACCAACTGCTTAGCTTCAACGGTAAAATTTGAGGGTTTGGAGGTTTTGGTTTTATAAAATCGCAGATGGGTATGTGAATGAGATTGTTTTAGAAATATATTTGGTTTGAAAATGTAGTGCATCCATGGAAACATGAACTAGTGGTTGATGCGGTCTAATTTCAAGAGGCTGACAAGCAATATAAAGGGATAAAATGCAATATATATTCACATAAAATTATTAAGTTTTGTACCTCTTTCTATTTTCGATTTATATAAAAAAAAAGTTACACTAATTTCTTAAAAATATGAAGGTTAATATGATACTTCTTTTTTTATAGAAATATTTAAATATAAAAACACGAGGAATTTCCAACAATAACTTTAAGATTTGTATTCATTAAATTAGATGACACCTAAGTAAATTTTTATTTCATGACCTAAATAATATTTTAATAACTAAAATTAATAATTCAAATTCATATATATTACATACTAGAAAACTTATGGTGGTAGAAAGCGAGTTTATACTAATATATACGACACATGGACATAAGTAGGTTTAGCTGAGAGCATAGTTTTCTTTTGAAAAACCTAAAAAAAAAAAAAAAAAAATCAAAGGCTTGGCTTATTAGTTTGCTGTAAGCTTGCTAAAATCGGAGTTCAGGTCATCCTGAATTTAATTTTTGAAGTTTTCGGCTTGATTTGCCTTGAGATTCGTGCCCGATCAAGATAATTTTTTGAGGATATATCAGTTGCCCCCCTATTTTCAAACGTCGAAGCTCCAGGAGTCCAAAAATACGCGTCATAAACTTTGGAGAATTTTTCATGTGATTCAGAATCCAATCTTTCATATAGGAGCCTCAAATGGCTTTAAAAGTGCTGAAATTGAGTCCAGAACGTCGAAAAACGGTCTCGGGGACCCAAAAAAGTTTGATTTGGCCTTTATGAGGAGAAAATCAGACCCGAAATTGAGTGGGCAGCCAAACCGGTAGAATCGGTCGGCCAGTCGCCGCCGCAGTCAGCTCTAAACCGCGTGCCGCCGCTAGTCCGTACAGCCTCGCCTGCTCGCCTGACTAGACCAGCTCCTGCAGCCCGGCCGGCCCGCGCCTGGCCCACTTGGTGCCACGAGCCCACCATTGTCCAGGCGCCGGTTCGTGTTGGCCATTCGTCTCCTCCACCGACTTAAAAAATACATTTTTTAAATCATAAAAAGTCCGAAAAAATCCTAAAAATTTCGAAAATTTCAAAAAAATCCAAATAATTATAGAATCATCCCCCCTCTCCAAAAACACTATAAATAGGCACCTTAGGGCCAAGGATAAACCTTCACTGTCTCTTCTTCTCCCTCTGACTTTCTGACAGTTAAGGCTTTCCGATGTTTTTTAGTTGTTAACTTTCTCTAGTTGATTCAACGCCCCTCCTCTTGTACAGAAGTTGGAGATTTATGTTCTTTTTTCCATTTTTTCTCCCCCATTTTTCTTCTCGCTCTAAAGGCCTTCAGCTATTTTTCGTAGGTGACTTTCCCTACTTAATTCGGCTCCCCTCTTTAGTGTAGAATTTATTTTTTCTTTTCTCTATCTTTTTCTCTGTCAATCTTCTTACAGTCGAGGCATTCCGATATTTTTCATAGGTGACTTTACCTACTAAAATCGGCGCCCCTCCTCTTGTGTAGAAGTTGAACTTTTTACAGCCATTTCTTTTCTTTCTCCTACCGTGTTCTAACTTTCTTATAGTTGAGACATTCCCCTATTTTGGTAGGTGGCATCCCCTACCCAAATTAAGGTCCTCTCTCCTTGTGTAGAAGTTAGAATTTTTTGCAACCATTCATTTTCTTCTCATCTAGTCTTCTTCTTATATTGGAGGCATTCAACTATCGAAGATAGGCGACATTTCCTTATCAAGCTTTTGCCTCTCTCTTGTGTAGAAGGAGATTATTTTCTCCTTATTCTTTTCTTGCATTATTCTTCTTATATTAGAGGCATTCCACTGATATAGATAGGTGACATTCCCCTATCAAGCTTGAGTGCCCCTCTCTTATGTAGAAAGAGTCACGATGAGAGGCTATCTTTTTAATAGACAACCCTTGATAGAAGAAGACAATTGCTACTAGTATGCGAGGATGACCAAAAGTGATAAGTAGACAGGGAGAATTTCAATGCCATTTGAGTGGAAGTCTATTGGCAGTCAATGACCAGTGTAGAGCTGGAGAAGATAGTTCAAGGGTGTGCTACAAGTATCAGTCAAACAAGAAGCTGATGATGGCTGATATGAAGTGAAGGACTACTGGTAGATATCAGACGAATAGATGATGATGGCCGGCAGGAGTCCAGTGGTATTTTTCTAATGCAATATGCATCAATACTGAAGTGTACCGACATCAGATATCCCTGAGTCAAGGGACCAGAGCAGTGTGCTATGCTGACATTTTGGCAACATAATAATACTGCTAACTTAGTAGAGGCCAGATGATGACCATGTTATGTCCTTTCAAAGAAGAAAAAATTGTAGAGAAGAAGTCACTTAAATCCACCAAATATATTTGACTATCTTGAAGTTACTTGTTGCTTAATGATAGTAGCTTGTATAATAGATGTCAATGTACTTTTTAATTTCAACTTCCAGTGAGAATAAATGTACATCTGAATCTGAATTTATGTAACTTCATTAATATTAAATACGAAGTTGAGAACATTTCTCTTGGAAAAAAGTTGAATTATTATTGCATCTTTTATGCATTAAGTATTTTCCATCCTCTTTGATGTTTTTCAGCCAGCTAAAATTTTTTACATGCATGTGTGGAAGAGGCCAAAATAATCCTCCAAGGATGTATGACCTTTCCAAAGTTGTATGTTATAGTATTACTCGATGACGTTAACCTATATAGAAGAGGTAGAGAGAATCCACATAGGATGTAAAACCTATCCGAGGTTATATGTTAGAGCATCGATAGATGATGTTAATATATGTGGAAGAGATTGGGAGAATCTACCAAGGATGTTAGACCTATCCGAGGTTATATATTAGAGCACTTTGCTCGATGACATTAACTTATACAGAAGAAGTTGAGAGATCCAACAAGGATGTGAGACCTATTCGAGGTTATATGTCAGAGCACTTTGCTCGATGACGCTAACCTATATGAAAGAAGTTGAGAGACCATCAAGGATGTGAGACTTATCTAAGGTTATATGTCAGCGCACTTTGCTTGATGACATTAATCTATATGGAAGAAGTCGAGAGATCCACCAATGATGTGAGAACTATCTAAGGTTGTATGTCAGAGCACTTTTTTCGATGACGTTAACCTGTATTGAAGAGGTCGAAAGATCCATTAAGGATGTGAGACCTATCTGAGGTTATTTATAAGAGCATTTTGCTCAATGACGTTAACCTATATGAAAGAGGTTGAGAGATCCACCAAGGATGTGAGACCTATATGAGGTTGTATGTCAGAACACTTTGCTCGATGATGTTAACCTATATGGAAGAGGTTGAGAGATCCACCAAGGATGTGAAACCTATCCGAGGTTGTATGTCAGAGCATATTGTTCGATGACGTTAACCTATGTGGAAGAGGTTTAGAGAATCCATATAGGATGTAAGACCTATCCGAGATTGTATGTCAAAGTACTTTGCTCGATGACGTTAACATGTATGAAAAAGGTCAAGAGATCCACCAAGGATGTGAGACCTATCTGAGGTTGTATGTCAGAGCACTTTGCTCGATAGCGTTAACCTGTATGAAAGAGATCGAGAGAATCCACCAAGGATGTAATATCTATCCGAGGTTGTATGTCATAGCACTTTGCTCGATGACATTAACCTGTGTGGAAAAGGTTGAATCGAATTCCCCTTGGACCGATTTTGCCTTGATTGGGAGGGCGCGAACGCCGTATGTATCCCGAATCAAAGGTAAAGAAGTGTCTGTCTTAGATTGTTACTTCTTTTTGAGGTCGAGATTAAGACATTGCCTAAGGAGTAGAAATCCAGCAAGGGACTGTATAAAGATTGCAATTGATTGGAAGTATCCTTGCATTTGCTGAGATTTTCCTGAAATATCATCTTGATGTTAAAAGCATTGGAGGATCTTTTTGACTTGATATAGCCAAAGTTGCCTCTCAGTCCACATCTATTTCTTATGAAATTAATGTAGCAATAGTTGATGTTAGGAAGTTGACATGAATGACCTTCTGAGGTTTGAGCAAAATTTGAACCCCAGTCGGGAACCACGTTCCCATAAATGCGCCAAACTATTGCGTCATGGAGTATTCACAGTGGTAGAGAAATATAAAGTTTAACGTCCTAGCATTGTATGAAAATCAGAAACGCAATCAGATAAAAGAGAGGACGCATCATTTGCTAGAGACACCAAGTTTTTTATGTGGAAAACCCCTGAAAAAGGGGAAAACACATGGGGCCTGGCCTAGTATAAATGAATCCACTACTTTTGTAGTTGATTACAAATGAGGTCCTTCATCGGGAGAAGGCCTTAGATTGATGTACATATTATAGAGTACATTACATAGTGAGAACACAAAGAATTAATGTTGATGTGTTAGTTTGGTCTGAAGGACTGTAGTTGGTGTGCGAAGTATGTCGGAAGGACTATAGTCGGCGGGCGACGGAGGTCGGAAGGACTTTAGTCGGCGCGCGACCGAGGTCGGAAGGACTGTAGTTGGTGGACGACGTAAGTCTAAAGGACCATAGTTGATGGACGACGGAAGTCAGAAGGACTGTTGTTGGCTGGCGATGTAAGTCTGAAGGACCGTAGTCGACACACAATAGAGGTCAGAAGGACTATAGTCGGTGGGAGACGTAAGTCTGAAGGACCATAATCGATGGGTGATGGAGGTCGGAAGGATTGTAGTATGATGATGAGGTCAGAAAGATGACGTCTGGTAGAAGTCCATCAATGGGCTGAAATCCAACATCAGATAAATGTCTGGTGAAAGTCCGACAATTGGCAGAAGTCCAGCGTTAGGTAGAAATTTGGCAAAGAGCGGAGGTTCGAGATCGGTTAGAAGTCAGACGTCAGTTGGTGGCCGAGGAGAACTCCGACATTAGATGATATTCGGGGAGAACTATTGTGTTACTTGGAGTTTTGGTGAAACTCCGACATTACTTGGAAATCGGACGGAATTCCCACATCACTTTAAGGTTAGGAAGAATTCTAGCATCGAGAAGAACTCTGGTGTTGTTCGGAATTCCTGTAGAATTCTGGTGTAGGGCAGAACTCTAGCGGTGGTCGAGGAGTTATTCCCTCCTATCATTCTCTTCTCCTTCTCTTATTCTTCCTTTTTCTTGCTTCTTGCTTGGGTCCCCTCTCATGAGAAATGAGGGGTCTATTTATAGATTTTTTGGAGTGGCATGGCCCATAAATAGATGAAATATGAGGGGAAAATATGGATTGGTTTGGATGAGCGAGGTCGATCGTGGATCATTCATCAGACATTTGAATGTCTTAATGATATTGGAATTCAGCAATACTGGGCTTGTTGGATTCATCTCGTCGATCCGCTCGATTTGATTAGAAGCATGTCATGTTTGGAAACCGTTTGGTAATCCAAATTATGGTTTGAACTTTCCAACAGCACTTTAGGTGCTTGATTTGGACTCATTTGGGCTCGGACTGAGTCGAATTTGGTGTCATTGGGTTTGTATTTCCGAGATACTTAGTTCGACTGTAAGTTTGCTGAAATTGGAGTTCGCGTGATCCCGAATTTAATTTTTGAAGTTTCTGGCTTGATTTTGCCTTGAGATTCGTGTCCGATCAAGATAATTTTTTGAGGATATATCAGTAGTAAAAGATGATGTCGAAAGCTTGCATCGACTTTATAGGCCATGACATGGGTCTATATAATTGGTGAGGAAAGTTAAAAAGGTCGATGGGTATTAGTATAATAGGGTGATAATGGTTAGGAGATTATAGCGGGTTGATAGTGGTTATGTAATAACCTTTAACTAAATTTTTTTCTAATTTCTAAAAATTTGGATGGGTGAGCGCTACAGTGCTAGGCTAGATGGTGTTGCGGCATTGAGCTCATAGATTTTTTAGAATTTGAGGGAGTGCTAAGGTGCTGGGTCTGGAGCATTATGATGTTAGCTCTGAAAGTTCTTTTTTTAAAAAATAAAAATAT